CCCGCACGTGTATTAAACTCACTTTGATTGACAAGTGACTGACGCTAATTGCCGATCTCGGCTCGAGTGCTGGGCGGGACCCTGTTGCACTTTGACCTCGACTCTCTGCCAATCACGTCACAGCTTTCACCAGCCTGGTTTTAGTCATTACTGTAGGAACAAGTAACTCTCTGGAAGGTACTGTCGGAGTCTGCTGCCAGACTTGGGGATGATGAAATACTCACATTTGCACACTTGGCTCTTCTTGTATAGTTTTAACAGTGGAAAAGGGCCCTTAGTCAAAAGCCAAAAGTTGTTACCACCTCTTTTAACAACACAAGGGCACTGTTGGTACGGAGATGGTATGTGAATGGATGGACGTCTCTGTTTCTCTTTCAGTCATTATTAGGAATATAAAAAACCTAGTGTGTGTGTGTGTGATAGAAATAACCTTTAATGGCGTGAACTTCAGCATGTGAGCAGGATTTTAGACAGAGAATGAATAAGAAAAGAATAAACCGTCATAACAACATTAACCCAACACATAGTGCCTTTTTTTGTAGCTTTTGAGCCAGTAAAAACTAATTAAATGGTCATATTGACATTTAAAGGTCCAGTGTGTAACATTTAGGAGGATATATTGGCAGAAATATTATATAATATTCATAGGTATGAAGGTTTTTATTAGTGTATAATCACCTGAAAATAAGAATAATTGAGGTTTTGTTACCTTAAAATGAAACATTTTTTAACCACAGAAGGGACCGGGTCCTCTTCTTCGGAGGCCGCTATGTTGATTATTGCTCATTTTTTTACAGTAGCCCAGACAGACAAATCATATTTCAGCTGACTTTATATTTAGGTTTTTCCCACGTTTTTTAGTTCACGATCCTAGTTTCATCTGCTTGGAGATGAGCTGTATAAATATTTTGCTATTCTGCTATATACTTTCACCACTAGATGCCACCTGAATCCTTCACACTGGTCCTTTAAGGTGTGTTGGTTGATTCACAACGTCCCATCTCAGTCACATTTTTCTTAGTTAACATCCTTTTCATTCACCCTTCACTCTTCTGATGGACTCTGTATTTGTGATTCATTTGCGAAGAAGCTGTTGAACCGGTGCCAGTTTGTGCCGCATCCACGACGCCTGCAGGAAATGAAAGCTTGCGTAGTTACGTTTACATAGTCTAGCCTACACCTCTGCTAACAAGCTACTTACTTAGATTTTTCTAGTCAGCGTCAAACACACGAGGCTTCAAAACATTGCAATGTTGTTGAGTGAACTCTTTAAAACCCCAGAATTGACCACAGTTGAGCTTTTGGCCACTTGGGGGCGACAGAACAAACTCTAAAAATAAAAGTGACGTACGGCATTTTGGCCTCATAAAGCTGAAGGTGTTAATATTTACTCATCCAACAGACTGTTTTCCTGCCATCTGATGTATAAAAGTTAAATATTCAGTCTTTTGCTGGTCTGACAATGACAATAAAAACAGCTCCCCCTTGTGGACAATCTGTAGCCTTTTTAATACGATTCAGTCATAATTTAGTTCCCGAAAAAAGACGTTTTAAGACGCACTTTCTTATCTCTATTGCTGAGCTTCAGTTTAACAAGAAAGAGAAATACTGCAGTACTTTGTCTCCGTCCCTCAGCCAATTACAGTACATATTAAACATTTGTACAACTTAAACTAAAGTCTCTTTATGCATTTTGTCCCTTCTTTCTCCACCGCGACGACCCGCTCTTCCACTATGGCCACCTGCCAAACAGTTTTCACCGCTCCTGCCAACCTGTAACGACTCCACCTTGTATGTTTTTATATGTGCGCGAATGCATGTCTACATGTATTTTAGTAAGTGTGAGAAATGTTTGCCTTTTTTCTGTTATTCTAAGCTCAATTAAAACTCACCTAACCTA